CATACTGTATTCTCACCACTTTTGCATCTTAGTGAGTGATAACTGCCTGTGAATGTTTATAGGAAAAATTAATTTGCCTAGTATAGTTGTATACTAGTGAATTGATTGGTTCGTCAAACTTAAAATTTTTTATAGAAGTTTCCAAATTATTAGGATAGTGAGTTTGAATATTTTATGGGATATAATGATGTAGCTCACCTAAAAGTAATAATATCTGCCAGTTATTTTTTTTAATTTTTAATTTTTATTTTTAATTATACATGACTGTAGAAAGTATTTTGACATATCTTACATACATAGAGTATAACTTCCCATTTTGGTGGTTGTACATGATGTTACACTGGTTGTGTAATCATATATGAACATAGAAAAGTTATGTCTGATTCATTCTACTGTCTTTCCCATTCCCATCCATCCTATCTCCCCCACCGCTTCCCCCTTGTCCAATCCAGTGAACCCTCATTCCTACTTTCCTGTCCCCACCAATTGTGAATCAGCATCCACATATCAGAGAGGACAGTCAACCTTTGATTTTTGTGGGATTGGCTTATTTCACTTAGCATGACAGTCTCTAGTTCCATCCATTTACCAGCAAATCCCATAATTTTAGTCTTCTTTAAGGCTGAGTAATATTCCATTGTGTATATGTACCACCTTTTCTTTTTCCATTCACCTGTTGAAGGACACCTAGATTGGTCCCATTGCTTAGCTATTGTTAATTGGGCTGCTATAAACATGGATGTGCAATAAACATTGATGTCGCTGTAGTATGCTGATTTTAAGTCCTTTAGGTATCTGCCAAGGAGTGAGATAACTGGGTCAAATGGGGGGTTCCATTCCAAGTTGTCTGAGGAATATCCAGACTGGTTTCCATAGTGGTTGCACCAGTTTGTAGTCCCACCAGCAATTTATGAGTGTGCCTCTTTCCCTGCATCTTCACCAACATTTATTTTTATTTGTATTCTTGATAATTGCCATTCTGACTGGAGTGAGATAAAAATCTCAATGTAGTTTTAACTGCATTTTTCTAATTGCTAGTGATGTTGAACTTTTTTCATATTTTTGTTGACAGATCGTATTTCTTCTGTGAAGTGTCTCTTCAGTTCCTTTGCCCATTAATTGACTGGGTTATTTGTTTTGGGGTGTTTTAACTTTTTTGAGTTTTTACATATCCTGGAAGTTAATGCTCTATCTGAGATGCAGGAGGCAAAGATTGTCTCCCATTCCGTAGGCTCCCTCTTCATGTTCTTTTTTTCTTTTTTGATTTTTTTTTTAGTTGTAGATAGACACAATATCTTCATTTATTTATTTTTATGCGGTGCTGAGGATCGAACCCAGGGCCTCACATGTGCTAGGCAAGCGCTCTACCACTGAGCCACCACCCCAGCCTCCTCTTCATGTTCTTGATTGCTTCCTTTGCTGTGAAGAAGCTTTAATTG